GCTCGGCGAAGCGGACGAGAGCGACGGCCAGCGCCGCTGCGCCGGGCTACCGATGCGCGACGTCGTCAGCTGGCGGTGGGGGGCTCGGGTGTGTGGAGTACCATATCGTACTCACATCCTAGAGCCATGAACTCTAGGCTCCCAAACCAGACCACCGTGCCAAGATGTAGTGGACGATGGGGGGTCAATTGATCCGAACTTGTTGGGACGATCACGCTAACACGCAGAGTCCCCTACTCAAGCGCGCTAATCGCCGGTGTTTGGACTAGGGGTCCTCAACCAACCAAGAAAATGTGAACTCGCGTGCCCTAATCCTGATGGTGATGCAAAGAGACACAAGGTTTATACCGGTTCAGTAATCGGTGCCCTACGTCCGATCTAGGAGATCGATCTTGTATTCTTTGCAATCAAGTGCTTGTAGTAGGGGTTACAAGCTGGGTGAGAAAGGGAGCTAGTCCCAGGTCTCGGCGTGGAGTGGTGCGGGCTGCTTGAGTCATTGCTCTCAGGCAGCGTGGAAGCGTGCGTGAATTGAGTGAGTGCGTTTTGCGCGTGAGGGCCGGCATGGTCTCGATCCATAGAAACGGCCCTGGCTGCTTCCTTTTATAGCCACAAGGAGGAAGCCAGGAGTACATAAGAGAGCTACATGTGGAGCCTTAGCGAGGAAGGAAGATCTAGATCGTGGGCCTATTCCTCAGAAAGCAAAGACAAAGGTCGAGAATGGCAATTGGTACTTGATCACTGGTGCGTCATGTCGGCCATGCCTGAGGCTATTGAAGTCATAGGGGTCCTCGTTGACGTTTAGTCAGCATGGCCTCCTCTGTAGGTGACATGCCGTGCCTTGTGAATTTTTGACTTGGTGGTTCGCCGAGGCCTGGCAGGTGTTTGTGGCCGACCGCGCCGAGGCCTGATTTGCCGAGGCCTGGGAGGTGACCTGAGTACGATGCGGCGGTCTCGGTGGTCAGCGTCGTACCCGGTTTAGGTGGAAAAGTGCAAGGCGTGTGTCCGCAAAGCACGGTAGTCCCTGCACCGTTAGTGGGGAATGGTAAAAAAGGAGATTTGACCGCCGTCCCATCGCCCCTGTTGCTATGCCCTGCCAATCGTGGCTGACGTAGGCGCAACCAGGGGTACTTACACGGATGGGACGGCCCGCCAGAGGGGCAGTTGAGGGAGATGGCGAGGATGCGGGACGAGCCCGGCCTCGGCCGAGGCGGAGAAGGAATAGTACGTCTGAGACCCTGCCGGGGGGCCTCGAACGAGGCGTAGGACGAGCAGTTGGGCTCTCCTGTGGTTTCTGAGACTACAGGGACATGGACTTGACCTTCCAAGCTGCTTTGTCCTTGGCACAGGGGTTAGGTAGCACAGTGATGAGCACAGTGGCAGGTAACCCCTGTTGCGCCCGGTCCCCTGTCCCGTCGGTCGTTCTGCCCGTACTGTACCTGAGTGCGGCTGACGTTTGCGGAAGTAGTTGGGCGCATTAATCTGGACGTGACGTTTCGTTAGAGGAGTTTGGTCGGGACGGAGGTTACGAGTATGTTTGCCAAGCCCGGCCTCGAGCGAATCAGAGAATTGGCATCCCATCCGAGGCCTTTCGGGGCGAGGCCTCGGCGAGAGGGTCTCGGCGAGAGGGCCTCGGTGGGGCGCTTTTGGCCTTTCATATGAGGCCTCGGCGCAAGGCCTCGAGCGAATCGGAGAATTCTACAGAGACCTGGCGGTAGTCTTTTGGCTTTGATTTTTGCAAGGTTTAAGCAATATTTTTTGTTCTTGCTTAGGGTACCCCTTCTTGTGGTATCCGACAGGACTAATCCCTAGGAATCCCTCACACAGGGCGACGAACGCCGCCATGTGCTAGATTCCATTGGGATTGAGGTGCTGCAACTCGATTTGGTAGTAGTGCAGCAACCCCCGGAGAAATTTGTGAGCAGGGGTCGTAAGCCCCCGCTCATGGAAGCGCACGATTGAGACAACATAGCCGTCGGGCGACGACGGTACGTCCTCCTCGCTGGGCAGCCACCACTCCTCGGCGGCAGTCCGTGCATAGAGAAGACCGCGGTGGACAAGGCCCTCCATGCACTGGAGGGTGACATCAGAATGGCACCATGGCTCCATTGGAAGATGGGGTGGGTGGATGCGAACTCGACGGCGGCTAAGACGTGGATGTGGAGAACTTAGGCGATTGGCGATGGAGGTTGCAGATGCGAAGGCAATGAGGCAAAGTATGAAACCCTAGGGGTGGGTGGATGCGAGGAAACCAACCGTCCGCCTGGATCTCCGCGTCTACCACGATCCGCCACCACGTCACATCGCGGGATATGCGCTCGCAATCCCTATTCTTTCCCTCTGAAGATGCGCCGGACGTTTCGTCTGCCCGGGCGGACCAGGACTCTTTACCAGCGAAAGGAATACGGGTCAAAAAGCATTTCTCTGGCCCACCTAGGCCCAAGAGTTTGAGGACTAGCCCATCAATGGTTTTGACGGCCGTCCCAAGGCACCCTTACGATAAGGGATGGGACCGCAAGCGGCCAGAACTCAGGCATATGAGCGTCACGAAAGTATTGGCCCTCGATTGAGTATCAGCCAGGCTGACCCTAGCCGGATCCCCACGAATGGAATACCGGGACCCCAATCGAACTATCCAACTAACAAACCATCAAGTCTCACGGCCACACCCGCGAAAGGTCCGACCTCGGAAAAAAGGAATCGCCATCCCCAGGACACGCCGTGGGCGACAAGAGAAGGCCAGGGCCCACAGAGTCCTCCCTTTCGAAAAAACCTCTCAAGGAGTATTCGCTCTCCCAGCAGCTCGGGGCTACACCCACCGGTGCGCCAGTCGCACTGGCCGCCAATTGAAAAACCTCCGAAGGAGTATTCTACTCCTCCACAGGCTCGGGGATTACACCCAACGGGTGCGCTCACACGCACCCTCTGGTAGGTCAAAAAATCCCCCAGACGATTTTGCTCGAATCGCCAGGGGGCTCGAGGGCTACTATTGGGGACCAATACTAGGGTACACGAAGAGGAGGAGTTAATACCCGTCAACATTGATTCATCCAAGCATCATGAGCACAACTGCACCTCTTGCTGGGCACCGCCTCATCCAGCCACCAAGGCCGCGGGCTCCGCCTCGCCCTGCCCCCGAGGGTCGGTTCGACCTCGGCTGTCTCCCGAGGGTTGGCTCCACCCCGTCTGACCCCCGAGGACTGGCTCCGCCTCCCCCGACATCTGAGGGTTGTTTCCGCCTCGCCCAACGTCTGAGGGCTAGCTCCGCCTCGCCTGACGTCTGAGGGCTATTTCCGCCTCGTCCAACGTCTGAGGGCTGGCTCTGTCTCATTCGACGTCTATGCACGACTCCTTTACAACAACACACGGAGCAGATAAGGCAAGGCACTCAAAGTCAACCATAATACCAAGAACCGTACCCTGCATCTCTGCAGGACAGTCCCATCAGGCCATGCCAGAAGGGTGCTTTGCGACCTTCCAGGCATGTCAGAGCTCAAACAGTGTTGTAGGCGTCGACATTTGCCCTACAGTGTTGTGGGCGCCGTTATTTGCCCTCGGGCATGGATCCTTACGGAAGCTAACGACAACCGCTACGGTCCAGAAGGAAGCACGCATTACCCATAGTGATGGACGTGCGGTCACTGTGTTGCCTGCTCCCCGTGTGGCTGCTGATCAACACCCTAGTCCACCGCGTCGTCCGCCGGGGCGGGATGGGACGTGACAACCCGCTGACAATGCCAGGACATGACATTGTCAATGGACAGACACCCAGCGTAGCCCTGTCAGGACCAATGGCCATGCACCCGGCATGGGGCTATCCCTGCCACCGCCTGCCATGTCAGCGGGGTCCGCACAGAGGAAAAGGAAGACCCGGCATCCTTGAAAGACTTCCTTTGTCTCTTGTTTTACTTTTTCTCTCTCCCATCTGTAATCCATGCTCTCCCTTGGCCTATAAAAGGGAAAGCAGGGCACCCAAATAAGGGGATCGATTGACCGCATCGCACATCACACTACATCACAATAGAACCACGAACACATAGCTGAAAGAGCAACAATCGAGCCCTCAAATTTCATTCGACCTTTTCCACGAGACTTGGGACCTGTCCCTCTCTCGCCCATTTGTAACCCCTACTATGAACTTTTCAAAGGCAAATAACACGAAGCAAAAACCACAAATCGGGCGTAGGGACATTCTGCCCAACCAAAGATAAACATTGTGTCTTTTTAGCACACCATCCGGACCAGACGCGCAATAACACAAATTTACTCGTTGGTGTTTAATCAAAACACCGACAAACATCGATATACAACATTTGCAATTTACTTCAGAAACATCTAAAACACTTAACACATACTCTTGCGACATGCGCTTTCAGCGTAATATCACCTTGCTGTATGAACAAAAGGAGGCTCATCGTTGCGGAGCTCGACGCCAGCGCATGGAGCTTGCCAGTGCCCCATCGGAGGCACTGCGCTGGGCGAGCACCCACGCGAGGCCGCGAAAGCAGCGCTGGGCGAGCACTTGCGCGAGGAGCAACCGGCGAGCACGACGGCCTACTCAAAGGGCGCCCCCTGCAACACCCATGGCGAGCGGCCAGCAGCCGACGAGTACCCCCTGCCCGGCAAGCACAAGCATGCCAGCAGCTGGCGAGCACCCCTGGCTGGCAAGCATGAGCACCACGTGCTGTGCGGCGAGCACCCCCTGGCTCGCAAGCACACGAGTTCGAGACGGGGAGGAGAGTCACAGGCTCCGCGACATCTTCCTCTCCCTGTTGCTTTGAATGGAGAGACGGAGAAGAAAAAGAGAGGAGATGGAACCGGAGAGAATAAGTCTGGCCATCTGGAGTAGATATTTGTGTGATGGAGAAAATATATGGACCACGTGAGACCGTGTAGTGTTTGTGGTATAGTCTCCAACAGCATGCTCATCCGCCTCTACCCGAAACCACAAGCACACTGACGCACTGCTTCTAGGCTTCTCGCGGCACCACCAGTCCACCAGCATGGGCTCCCGCGTCCGAGTTCTCAGTGTCACCCATGTCCGACCCTCTGAAACCTCCAACCCTTTGACAGACAACGACGACCACGCCATCAAGGTTTCGCTCTTGGACACCATGTTCCTCCCCTACCAGCCGATGCAGCGCCTCTTCTTCTACGAGGGCGACGACCTGCCGCCCGTCCCTGCCCTGCTCGGCACGCTGCAGTCCTCCCTGGCCGCCACGCTCGCCATCTTCACCCCGCTCGCCGGCAACCTCGCGGTCTCCAAGTCGGGGGACGTCGTCATCGACTGCTCCCCGGGCGCCGTCTCCCAGGGCGTCAGGTTCGTCGAGGCCGAGTACGCCGGCAGCACCGACGACATGCGCCGCCTTGCCAGCGACGCCGAGCACGACGCTGAGGCGTACGCGCAGCTCGTGCCCACTGTCGTGGTCAGCGCGCTGCCGGTCCCCGCGCTGGTCGTGCAAGTGACGAGGCCCGCGGACACGGACGACGGAGGCGGGATCGGAGCCGTGGTGGTCGGCGTGTCCATGTGCCATGGAGTGGGTGACGGGCAGGCGCTGTGGGAGTTCATCCGAGCGTGGGCTGCCGCGGCGCGGGGCGGTTCGCCGGCCTTGCCGGCGTTCCTGCCGCCGGTGTTCGACCGCGCGGTGATCAACCGCCATCCCAAGGCAGAGGCCGTGTCGCGCATGTTGCTGCGAATCTTCGCGCCGGCATTGCCGATGGTGAGTTCCTTCGTTATGTCAGCCGTCAATTCAGCGTGTTTGACTGTCAGTGTTGTGGTGCCGAGCCAGAGCAGTTTTTTTTTCTTTCAATTAATCGCCGTGGAAAATGAGGACACCGGACAAACATTTCTCAATCACTGTGATCGAATCAAGTTGGCACAGTGAAGTCTTCTCAAATCTCAATCATTGTTCCTGATCACTCGCTGCCACATCAGAAGACAACAAGGATCAAATTGCTTGAGAGTTGAGACGACCCTGAAAACAAAAGAAAATAAAGAAATTTGTGTGTACCAGGATATCCCAAGATTATTCTCAGTTGAATTATTTTTAAGATGTCAAATTTGGAATATCAGTTCACTTCAATTTTCTTAGTAGTTTGAAAAATTGCATGGAATAATTCGCGTTGCAATCACATCATCGTCTGAACAGGTGAACGCATTCCCAAAACCGGACACGACACTCCAAAACCGGACAGGTGTCTTGTCGCAGTTGGACGGTTTGGAATGACACCATGATGGATTGTGTTGTCTGCGTGTTACTTTTCTAGTGGCACTATAATAAATTAAAAGAGATTGGGTTTGGTTGAGATAAGTGAAGAATTAATGAAATTTGAGTATCTACCGTCTTTTAATGAAGTGGCCCGTCGAGTTAGATTGCTTTTTGATGTTGCTGAGGATGCTTGTGAAGCTTTGGTACCTAGTAGGTTCCATACTTCGATGCCAGTGAAAAATGACTTACTATGTGCTCATGCAAATTAAGTCACATGGAACTTTTATAAGAATTTAGTGAAGGGATCTCAAATGAATTGTAGGTCGTAATGACAATACGCTAAGGGTTGAGGGCAATAGTTCCATTGCGAGGGAGCATTGATATTGATAAGGAGCCAATTGAGCAAGTAAACCAAGAAGGCCCATCATCACGCCAAGAACTAAGCTTCATGCTGGACTTATCGCATGTATCCATTCGTGAGATGGAGCAAGATTGTCCTGGTTATGATGAGGCTCATGTTAATAAGGACTACGATGTAGAGACCTTTTAGGAGTGGGCGAATGGAAAAAGGGTTGTCGATGATCAAGATGGCGACGATGAGGGAAATGAAGAAAGGGTAGATGATAATGTCCATGAGTTTAAGTGGCATGGGGGTGATGCGGTGGCAGAGGCTAGTCAAAGGCATGAACAAGTGATTGGGGAAACACAAGCATTGCCCATCATGATGAAGTCATTACATGGTCGTACCCATCAGCCATTGACTATGTCGGGCATAATGATTCCACCATTGGCATCGAAGGAGAGGAGGTAGCTTGACACTACAAGTGTAGTGGTTCTCGATGTCGGTATTTGTTCGAGGACATTCGTTTAACAAAGCTTGTGTTTCGTAAGGGTGGATAGAGGTCCATGGAGTCGAAAGCAAATAGTGAGAAGGTGTTCATCCATAAGGGTATGGTTTTTGAGAGCCTTGAAGACCTCAAGTTCTGGCTTAAGGATGATTTGGTGCAACATCACTGTACATAAGATGTGGTTCATTCATCAACTAAGCTTAGGTAAATGGTTTGTTGCCAACAAGGCTGTGGATGGTGATGAGGTTCAGAAGTGGAGGGCCACTAGAGTGAATCAACCACACACCTGTGGTATCTTAAGGCCGTCCCAAGAACACTCTCACGACAAGGCACATTGGTTGCTAGATAAATGGTATTGCCGACCCGAAAGCTTGTGTCTCCGTGTTATTTGGATCCATTGTAGGGTTCACCAATTACCATGTAAAATTCATAAAGAATTTTTTTATGCAGTAAGGAATATTGATTTGTCAACTATGATTTGATCTATTAGATTTCAATAAAGCATGGTAACTTACCATGTTCATTTTTTAATCGCCACATCCTAAAATATAAGCGAGTTTGTCCCAAAATTAAACTATTTCAAGTTTGTCTAAGTTTATAGAGAAAAGTATTATCGTCTATTTAGTTACATCAAGACGCAGGGAATAGCAACCAAATTGACTGGAAATTGGAGGCACTGCTTCCATTTGTCTTTGTTAGGCCACAAAAGGGTTGATATAATGTGTCTTCTTGGAGCGGTCGATCAGTGTTTCGCAGTGAGGCCACCCATGCTTGCCAAATGGTAGTATTCTAGCCTCCACAGTTATATTTTACGCATTAGAAAATGGCCAACTTCGATATCATGTAGGAACCGTAGGATAATAAGTTGTTTGCAACTCAAAAGCAGCAGGCAGTGATCAACAAGCTACCAGCACCATGAGGTCCCGGATGCGAATTCTCGCCGTCACCCATGTGCTTCCATCCCCAGATCATCAGACTGCCATCTGGTCACCACCAGAAGCCGTCTCCGACGACGGCCATGTCAAGCTCTCGTTTATGGACGCCTTATTCGTCGACAGGATGCCAATGCAGCGTCTCTTCTTCTACGAGGGCCCCGACGTCCCGCCCTTCCAGTCCCTCGTCCGCTCCCTGAAGTCCTCCCTCGCCGCCGTTCTCCCCGTCTTCCACCCCCTCGTCGGCAAGCTCACCCACCGCGCCTCGACGGGCGACGTCGTCGTGGACTGATCCCCGGCCGCGGTCTCGCCAGGCGTCAGGTTCGTCGAGGCCGAGTACGCCGGCAGCATCGACGACATGCGCCGTCTCGCCGTCGGCGACGAGCACCACACGGAGGCGCTGGTGCTGCTCGGGCCGGAGCTGAACGCGGGGTGCCTGCCGGCCCAGGTGCTCGCCGTGCAGGTCACGAGGCCCGCCATCGGAGCTGGGCGCGCCGGCGTGGTGATCGGGGTGTCCATCCACCACGCCGTCGCCGACGGCCACTCCGTGTGGCAGTTTATGAGGGCGTGGTCCGCTGCGTCTCGTGAGCCCGCGTTGGACTCAGACCTGGTGCCGCCACCGCCGCCGACATGGGATCGGACGGCGATCCCGTACCCCAAACCCGGGGAAGTGGCTCGCAAGTTCTTGCGCACCGTTGCGCCGGCGCTGCCTGTGGCAAGATCGCCGTCCTTGTACACGCCACTGGACCAGCGGAGGAGAAGCTTCCTGCTCCGCGCCGACGACATCAGGTCGCTGAAGCAGAGCATACTGACACAAAGCCAGGCCATCGGCGGACACCTGGGCACATTCCCAAGCACCTACGTCGCGGTGTCGTCGCTGGTGTGGACGTCCATCGTCCGCGCAAAGTCCCTAGACGACCCCGCCGGCGGCGACGCCTACTTCCTGGTGGCAGTGGACCTCCGGCGCCGCCTCGGCCCGGCGCCGGCGGTCGACGAGCGCTACTTCGGGAACTGCGTGGCGCCGTGCTACGCGAGGGCCGCCGTGCGCCACCTGCGCGATGGCGGCGCCGGGCTGGGACACGCCGCGGCGGCTATCAGCGACGCGGTCCGCGCGCAGCTCAAGGACCCGCTGGGCGGCGCGGAGCTCTGGCTCGAGGACTTCCTCGCGTTGCCCAAGGAGAGGCTCACGTTCACGGGGTCGTCGAACAGGTTCATGGCGTACGAGACGGACTTCGGGTGGGGCGCGCCGAGCCGGGTGGAGCTCGTGTCGCTCTTCACCAGGGAGCTGGTGCTGCTGCTGGGGGCGGAGGACGGCGGTGTGCAGGTCACCGTGTCGCTGGACCATGCACACATGGAGGGCTTCGCAGCCAACTTCATGCAGGTGTCACGACGAGGGGACGCAGCCAAAAATTTGGAGTAAATATGACGACGCAGGTGGTTGATAAAAAATCAAAACTCGATCATTTGCTTGGGGTGTACTGCACTACTGCAGTGTTTGAAACTCATGTGTTTGTAATAAGCCAAACAAACAAGAGCAGTTTCGAAAAAAAAGAAGGGGGCTGCATATCTTCAGGCTTCAGGTGATCTTTTTTCAATAGTTGACGATTGTTGTATTTTAATGAGGACACATTTTAATTCAATGAAAAACAATTATATCATAAGTCTCATATATTCTAAAAGCGGCTTATCTAAATCCCGCCAAATTTTGCTTATTTTCAGTCTAGATTTTGAACTACGATTTTGATTATAATCCAAATTAGACGTTCTAAATTTGAGTCTAATTTTGACTAAATTAGACGTTGACAACTTATCATCAATTTAAGTTGGCTGTGTCCACCGTGGAGAAGGACCGGAGGAAGCCGGGAAGATGGCCGGGGGCGTCGGGGAGGTGGAAGAGGTGGGCCGGGACCGACGCGTCGACGGCTGCTGTAGGGAAGATGGGAGGTCGGCGGCATGAGGCGTGCCATGGCCTCCGAGCCCTCCTCCGCCCGCGCCACGGCTGTCCACGTCCTCATGAACTGCCACACGGAGTGGCCGTCAGCCACGGCGTGGCGGATGGCCACCGCGACCACCACAGCGCGCCCGCTGCCGACGGCCGGCCTCGTCACCTGCACCGCTATCACCGGGGCCGGCAGCTGCCTCGCGTCCAGCTCGGGCCCGAGCTCCATCAGCGCGTCCCTGTCGCCCTCGTCGCCGCCACCACTGGCCACGCGGCGCATGTCGTCGATGCCGCCGGCGTACTCGGCCTCCACGAACTTGACGCCAGACGACACCGCGGCCGGCGAGCAGTCCACGACGACGTCACCGCCGGCTGATGGGCGGTAGGTGAGCTTCCCTGCAAGAGGGAAGAAGATGGCGAGCACGGTGGCGAGGGAGGACCGCAGGGAGCCGACGAGGTCCGGGAAGGGCGGGACGCCGGGGCCCTCGTACATGAACAGCCGCCGCATCGGCATGACCCTGTCGACGAACAGGGAGTCCATGAACGTCAGCTTCATGATGCCGTCGTCGTCGGGGAGGGGCTGCGGCGACGGCGAGTAGAGCGCAGCTCTCGCTCGATTTTGATCCGGGAGGACATGGGTGACGTTGACGCACGCTGGAGCTCATCGCGTACGGATAATCTAGCTATGCAAGAACCAGCCAGCCAGCAGGAGTATGATCAAAGCACATTACACATCGGTCTCACCTGCTGCCGGCGACTTCTCACCCACCACTGTGTTGTATCGATCCACATCGGTCTCACCTGCTGCCGGCGACTTCTCGCCCACCACTTGCCGGCGACTTCTCGCCCACCACTGTATTGTATCGATCCACATCGGTCTCACCTGCTGCCGGCGACTTCTCGCCCACCACTGTATTGTATCGATCCACATCGGTCTCACCTGCTGCCGGCGACTTCTCGCCCACCACTGTATTGTATCGATCGGAGACAAAGGCCATGGTGGGTTTGTTTGATTCCAAAGGCGTACTTTTTTAATAATAAATAGTATATTTCTCTTACACTAAATTAGTCAATAGTATTTTTAGCTATAGCTTATCAGCCAAACAAGTCTGAGCGAACAGGGCGTTGGATGATGCTGTGAGTGTCGGTCGCCTTGTGTTGCCTACTGCTTCTTCCGAGGAAAATTTACATACAAATCCATATAATTATATTTAACTAGGTCTAGGAATGTTATATTTATTATGACATTATGTTCCACGATTATAATAATCTAATATACTTGTCATCTAGATTGTTAACGGAGGCGGGTGTTCTAATGAGATTGTTAATTTTTTTACAGGGACGAGCGAGTTAGGAAGACTGCCTCTATTAATAAATTTATAGAGGTGGCCAAGTAACATTTTTTAATGCCCTATTGTTAGAATAAATTTATAGAGGTGGCCAAGTAATATTTTTTAATGCCCCATTGTTAGCAGAGGTGGTTGTGTTACAACGCACGCCTCTGTTAAGGATTAATGGTAATGAGGCCTATATCAACCACACCTTCTTCTTCCTTCCAAAGATCACTCACTTGGACACATTCTTGCTTGAGTTGAGGTGCTTAAGGAGGCCCAAAAAAGTGATTTCTCAAGGAGGTAGGTTTTGATCTTGATTTGTTTGGAAGAGTTGTATGTAAGTGGCTAGTTTGTGGCTCCTATGTATTTTATATTTGTTATTTTTTTTATCTTTGATGGATTTGGTGGTCTAGATCTAGTTCTATATGAGATCTAAATGGCGGGGATAGAGAGAAAATGATAGATGAGAAAAGAAAAATGTCCATATACATGCTTTGTAAATTATGGAGACTAACTTTCCCATATAATCCTATATTTTGTGACATGTTATATTTTTTGCAAAGGGAGAAATTGTATTAAGAAGCCATAGCACAAAACATCCCCAGTCTTATAGAAAACAACTTGGCAAAATTGGAAATTACAGCATGCAACACCAAAAACACCAGAATGTTCTCATCGTCACCTGAACATCGTCCGCCAGAAATGACTGTCGAGATCAGGCCAAGATCCACCTCCTAGCCTCACAGGGATCTGCCACAAGAGTGAGCGCCTGGAAACTCCATCAGAACGCATCGTTGACATTAAATGAGCATCGGCTGCTGACATGTGAAGAAAAGGAGAGGATGAGGGATCCGCTAGTGTCGACCATGAGACCAACGACTAGAAGATTATTTTGCCGTTACCAACACCGTCAGTAGCACGAACAAGGAACCCACACAAGGGGATGCCAAAAGTTCCCGCCTTTTCGCAAAAAGGGGACGGAAAGCCTTACACTTCTGCCAATAAAGGAGTTGGAGCACCACGTGCCGAAGGGCACGCCACAACCAGCCACACTGAAGTCCTCCATGCGACTGTCGACGATGAAACAGAGGCAGCAAAACCACCCGTGCAGCGCTACCACCATGGGTAAACTAAATATGTAAAGCACACCGACAAGGTCAAGGGGGTCGCTAACTGAAAGCTTTAGTTTGGTTTTGGTGAATTGATGAAACCCTAAGTGCTTGTGATCAATCAAATGCTAGCAATCAAGTGCAAGTGCTTCAACCAACCAATATTACAAGAGATCATCCATTGGACACTATAATTGGTGATATTTCAAGAGGTGTGCAAACTAGATCAAGATTGGCTTCATTTTGTGAGCATTTCTCATTTGTGTCATCAATTGAACCTAAGAAGATAGATGAAGCTTTGAAGGATGTTGATTAGGTCAATGCTATGCATGAAGAGCTAAACAACTTCACAAGAAACCAAGTATGGGAGTTAGTTGAGAGGCCTAAGTATTATAATGTGATTGGAACTAAGTGAGTCTTTTGGAACAAGCAAGATCAAGATGGGATAGTAATAAGGAACAAAGCAAGATTAGTAGCTCAAGGTTACACTCAAGTTGAACGTCTTGACTTTGGAGAAACATATGCCCCGGTTGCAAGATTGGAAGTAATTAGGATCTTGTTAGCCTATGCTTGTGCCCACAACATCAAGTTGTACCAAATGGATGTGAAGAATGGATTTCTAAATGGGTACATCAATGAGCTTGTGTATATTGAGCAACCTCCCGGTTTTGAAGATGAAAAGAAACCCAACCATGTTTACAAGTTGAGAAAGGCTTTGTATGGATTGAAACAAGCACCAAGAGCATGGTATGAGAGATTGAGGGATTTCCTACTCTCTAAGGGATTCAAAATGGGAAAGGTTGACACCACTCTCTTCACCAAGAAGCTTGGAAATGACTTATTTGTAATATAAATCTATGTTGATGATATCATTTTTGGGTCAACAAATCAAAATTTTTGTGAGGAGTTTGGCAAGATGATGGCTAGTGAGTTTGAAATGTCCATGATTGGAGAGCTTAGCTACTTCCTTAGTCTTCAAATCAAGCAAATGAAGAATGGCACATTTGTGAGTCAAGGCAAGTATATCAAGGACATGCTAAAGAAGTTTGGAATGGATGATGCTAAAGCTATTAGTACACCAATGGGGACAAGTGGAAGCTTGGATAGTGATGCTAGTGGCAACATGGTGGATCAAAAAAAGTATCGGTCTATGATTGGAAGCCTACTCTATGTGACCGCATCAAGGCCAGATGTGATGTTTAGTGTATGTATGTGTGCTAGATTTCAAGCCTCGCCAAGAGAAAGTCATTTGAAGGCAACAAAGAGAATATTGAGGTACTTGAAGCATACACAAAATGTTGGATTGTGGTTCCCAAAGGAACAAGATTTGAGTTGATTGGATATTCGGACTCCGATTATGCGGGATGCAAAGTTGAGAGAAAGAGCACATCGGACACATGTCAACTATTGGGAAGATCACTTGTGTCTTGGTCATCAAAGAAGCAAAATAGTGTAGCACTTTCAACCGCTGAAGCGGAGTATATTTCGGCCGTGTGGGGGAATAGACCCCCTATACCCTCATGGTATACATGGGCCGCACCACCGGAAGTGGCCCAGCCCGCAAGATGAAGACGTGCGGAGCACGTCACTATATTGTAATTGTACCAAATTGGATACTTTATTTGTAACCTTGTCCCTTCGCAGTATATAAGGAGGGGCAGGGGTCCCCTAGAGGACAGATCATACAGATCATAACAGATCTCACCCCAGATCAATACAAATAACAGAGCACAGGACGTAGGGTTTTACGCCACACTGGCGGCCTGAACCTGTATAAATCTTGTGTCTTGTGTCTCTGTAACCATCTGGTTCCTAATTACGCGCATCCTACCGATAATCTACCACCACGGGCACCCCCCTCGATGGACTGCCGACCATATTTCGTCGATAGTGGCGCGCTAGGTAGGGGGGCCCTTTAGGGGTTGTGCGCGCTGATCTTTCGACGAATCGGATGGGATTTTCTTCTTCAACACGTCAATAACAACTCGACTGATTGCGGCGGCGTCCTTCAGCAACCACGGCGACCTACAACAAGGATCTGATGCCGCAACGCATCTCGCAGGTGTGAGCAGATTGACTCGACGAGCTGGCATGTCGCACCCGACCATGATCGATCATGGATCTGCACCGACGACACTTATCATTGACCAATCAAGGAGGCCCGACGTGGGTTCAATCTACAGAGTCATGCTCTGGCCTCGCGATGGGCCCAGGCATCACAGCCATGCACCGGATCAGAGTCAACCATCGACAACATGCAAGATCTGAAAAGCTCTAGTTAATTCCGGCTTTGCATGCAGCAAGGACGCGTGATCTACCCAAGCCATGCAAACCTAACAAGATACATAGCATGTATATACGTATATACATCTGCACGGAAGGAAGCAAAGCAACTACACGTGAGGTCTACTTGCACGTATCCATCATCATGGAGCCAAATACGACGACTCCAACAGCGAGCGGTCTCAGCCAGAGGCGAGCCATGCCGAGCCATCTAGTGAGCCATGTCGAGCCAAGTGAGCCGCTGAGCGAGCCGCGTCGAGCCACGTCAAGCCAAGCGAGCCGCGTCGAGCCACGTCGACCACAGACCACGTCGACCACGTCCCGAGCAGCTCCGCCGAGCTCCGACCACGTCGACCACGGACCACGTCGACCACGTCCCGAGCGGCTCCACCGAGCTCCGACCACCTCGACCTCTAGACCACGTCGACCACGTCCCAAGCGGCTCCACCGAGCTTCGACCACCAAGACCACCAGACCACGTCGACCACGTCCCGAGCGGCTCCGTCGAGCTCCGACCACCTCGACCACCAGACCACGTCGACCACGTTCCGAGCGGCTCCGCCGAGCTCCGACCACCTCGACCACCAGACCACATCGCAATGATGATCGCCACGAAGAACGGCGCTATGACAACCACGACCACCGTCACAACAGTCCGAAAAGTACAAGGATCGGACAACTTTATCGCCATCGACCAGATTTCTATCCAAAGATAAGTACACTTCTAATATTTATATTTAACACAATTTTCATTACGACGTTTCTCCACAACGTCCTTGTCATGATTATTCTTCAAATAACGCTTGTCCATGTATACCATCTTAAATATAACATACAACTATACTTAATGCAAATCCTCGACCAGTCATGTTGACGCTCGATGCCTCCAGAGACGGCCCTGTCTCCGGCTCCTCCCTACACGTGCACGAGCGTCTGCCCTTTGCGTTATGGGTGGTCGGTAGCGGCTCCTTAGCGACGCATGTTCCTCCTACACGTGCACGGGCTCCACGCTCGACGTTATGGACTATAGGCTAGCTAGGGCTGGAGACTCAGCTACACGCTAACTGGTCGGGCAGTTTATATAAAGTATAAACACAAACTTCATTTTAACACTAATGTTTACAAAAGCACCAACTGCTTTATCACATCATGCTCATTTGCAAATGACTGCTGAGCGTCATACGCTATTTCTTCACTGCTGATTTTTTCTCCATAAATTATTATTTTGTACATCATATACTACCGTTCTATATATTTATATTGCAGGGATCT